GGAGGAGGTGTGAAATGGATTAGGGTTTGGATAGATGTTATATTTAAAATAAAGTGGGTGTGGGTAGATAGTGGGGTGGGTATATATGTTATTTTAATTTTATAAAATCATTATTAATTAAAATTATAAAAAAAACCTGATAATTGAATAAAAAACTTAAAAACCTGAATTTTTAAAATGTAAAAGAAAATACATGGTTTGGTGTAATTTCCTCTATATGAAAAATGAAAGTAGAAATAAAAAAATAATTATTCCCTACAGAATTGGTAAATTACCAAACTCTCGCAAATAATATAACCCTAAATATATGTTGAATTTTGGAATTTCATTAATAACATCTGCAAAAAGCCACATTAATTCTGTAACTAAATTAATAATTCGACTATCTATTTCTTATGAACATAGAAAAATTGAAGAATGCATAAACTAGCAAACAAAACAGATTAAAAATCAAGGGAGAGTGCTCACAAGATGGCAGACTTCGTTGTTGATTACTATAATTTGAAGCTGAGATACAAGTAGCAAAGCGCCGACGGATCTGATTTGATTCATTTGTTGAGTGACGAGTGTTTTGTAAGTTTGGTTTCCAATTTCAATTTTAACGTGCATAGTTAGAGTTAGGTTACAGAATTAAGAGTTTATTAGTAATGTTAATTAGGCCAGAATTTTGGGGAAACTCAATTATCAAAATTGCCCAATTAGTTTTGGGAAAGAATAATGAAAAGTCCAATTGCGCAATTTTTTTTTTTAACGGATAATCGGTTCGGGGCGGGCCACTGTCGCTAAATACTATACTCGCCCCCACCTGAATCCAGTCATTAAAATCAAAACCATAACCACCTCATTGCACCATGAGTTCGATTTTTTTCGACCTATTCGATTCGGTTAATCGCGATTTTTCGATTTTAACAATTCGAATCGTCATTCCTATGCCATAGATTGTTGTTTGTAAGTGATGCTTACAAATAATATTATGAGCTAGTACCAAAAGGCAGGAAAGAGACTGTCGACGAAATATCCTTTATTTTATTAGAAATAAAGAATATGATTGTATTACTAAGCGTACGTTTGTGAGAGAACTTCTTTTTATTTTTAATGTTTTTTTCTCAAAATATCTTTTAACCAAACTTTTTATTGGACTCAACTTTTCTTTTGCTCCTTTTTTTATTTTTTTTACATACTTTGTAAAAAAAATTATTCTTCACTTGAAAAATCTCTCCAATACAAAAGTCATACTCCCAAAGGGAAATTCAGATGTATATGGGCTTTAGTGAAGTGAATAAGCATTTTGAGCAAACGTCACGATAGAATTTTCTCGTGAATTAAATTCAGCACACAATTTAATTTAATTCTAAACAAGTGTCCCACAAACCTTTATGCCAAATTCCTTTGTTTTGTTTATTCAATCCATTTTATCATTTGAGAATAAAGTTAAAACGTCAAATTATTCCCATCTGGCTAAATACTGCCACCTTCTAGTTCCTTCAAGAAACTCCTCTGGTCTTTCAACAGCACCCCATACAGAAACGAAAGAAAATTGGAAACACACAATATATATGAGGTCCATTTTTTTAAATAATATTTANAAAGAAAATTGGAAACACACAATATATATGAGGTCCTTTTTTTTAAATAATATTTAAATCAAATGAGACCCACGTCATGTGAGCACAATTTTTCTGTACATTTAGGTTTGTTGAATTTATAAATATCAGACCCCCACTTTTCCATTCCAACACAGGAAAATTATCGAAATGGTGAAGGCACGTTTGGTAGGTATTGGAATGGACTATTCACCCACCAGCAAATCAGCACTGACTTGGGCAATCAATAATCTGATTGAAGAGGGTGATCAAATCGTCGTCGTCCATGTTGTTTCTCCTAAGGCTGATCCAACCAATAAGCAACTGTTCGAAGACACAGGATCACGTAAGTTGGTGTATAGATATATCTTCAACTAGTTCATCAGTATATTTTGAAAAAACACGCGCGCTTTTGTATATATGTGTTTTTGTATATATTTGATGTAGTTTATTGTGTTGTGTTGATTTTTAGCATTGATCCCTCTGGAAGAATTCAGAGAGATTAATGTTTCCAAGCACTATGGGCTCACCCCTGATCCTGAGGTTCTTGATATGCTTGATACAGTGTCCAGGACCAAAAGGGTAAGATACCTCTCCCCTCTCTCC